GATTAATTTCTTGCTTTTGGGATGCTCTTGGGCTGATCTGGTGAGCAAATACTGGTGAGCAGAGGCGAGCACAGCTAGCAGGTGCGGGAGCTCTGTGGTACTGGAGCGAATCCCCCGAGATCTAACACGCTTTTCTCTTCTCCGCAGGCAGAGGAGCGCTTCAAAACTGCACGTTTCACACCGCTACTAGCAAAGGTAAAGGGAAAAAAACCAACCCACCCCTTCTCTCCAATGTGCTGCTCACCATCCTGGCCCGGCTATTTCCCTAGAGACGGCTGCTTGCCCTAAACACACCCGTGTCCAGCTGCAACCTCACGGTCGGGTGTCAGGAGGGTGATTTCCGAGGCTGTCCCCACGGGGTACATCTGACAGGCACATCCTCAGGCTGAGGAGAGCCTCCTTTGGCCCATCACCTGGACGAGGCTGTCCTGAAGCCCGTGGAGATCATTCACCCTGTGGTTATAAAGCACCCCAAATCACGACTGGCGATTTAGTGGCCTCTGCCAAGAGCAGACGGGAAGGTAAAGAGTCACAGGGACTTCTTACAACACCCCACCGCCATTCCGACCCCGTGCCACCTCGCCCCAAGCAGCGATGCTCTGCCAGGGGAAACCCAAACCTTGCTTGAGCGCTCAGACAACGTCAAGGCCACGTCTAGACGCTGGAGGTGCCCACACTTCGCTATGCAGGTGGTTTCTCAGCGGGTCGCTCTGTCTACCCCAATTTGCCGGCCAGCCCCATGGGGAACTGCACCGTCCTCCCCATGAGTAGCGCTTTCTTGTCTCAAACCCTCAGTCCCAAACGCTGGGACACCCTGTCCTGACAGGCAAAAAGGAAAAGGGTGAAGGGATGGTTTTAGGTGAACCTGTCCTTGATTTAGGCAGCCCTCGACCCCGCCATGAGCGTTCCCATGTGGACCTTGGTGGCCACAGACTGGGGACCCTCTGCGGTAGAGCTCTACAAGGGGCACGTTCGTTAGCAGAGGCCGTGGGAAATGAAACCTTTGATGCCCGAGTACTTTGAGGCAGCCCGGTTCTGATGAGGCTGCCGAGGGTGGGGGTTGGCACTCTTTGAAATCACTGAGAGCCTTTCTGCTGACTTCAAAGGGCTTTATCAGCGCCCCTGCTCCTCTCTTCCTATCTAGAAGACCAAAGACAGACCTTGGGATGTCCTCCAGCAATGAAGGACTTTAGTCAAGGTCCTAAACCGATGCCTCAGTGCTTATCTCCACAACAGGCAAAGCATCCCGTGAGGAGGGGCCCACACACCAACGGCGTGGGGCAACGCCGGTGTTGCCCCGTGCTTCGGGCGTGTGGCTGGGGGAAACCGAGAAGAAGCAAGGTGAAGCTTCGCCGCCACCACCCGGCTCCATCTCTGCCCTTTTCTGTTGCAGATATCACGGCCGCCGCGCTGGCAACGGGTGCCTGCATCGTGGGCATCCTCTGCCTGCCCCTCATCTTGCTCCTGATCTACAAGCAGAGACAAGCGGTCAGCAGCAGACGTACGTACCCTCCCCTCGCCGGCGGCCGGCGAGGGACACCCATCTCGTCTCCTGGGTTGCATCAGGGTGGTCTTTATGGGATGGGATGGGATGTATCCCACCGGCGGGTCTGTGGGTTTGGCTGCCTTGAGTCCCATGGGTAGCGTGTACGGTGGCCCCAAGACAGGTCCCTACCAGGTTCCTCCTACAAAGCTGTCCTGGGAAAGTGAGGAGTGTGGGGTAGGAGACGGACCCTTGACGCCCGCGTGGCACCCTGGGACCATGCTGGGGACATTGAGAGTGCAAAGATGCTGCCGGGCCCCCTCCCCGCCGAGCCCTTTCCTCCCCATCCACTTGACTCATCCCTCCCTCCACCGCACGGCTGAAATGGCAGCTTTGCCGTCTAAGCGGTTGAGAAAGCATCATTTGTGCTTTTTCGCCCCGGCTTTTTTTTTTTTTTTTTAAAAAGACCCCTTACACAGCGATGGCAATAGGGCTGCAGCAAGCCAGGTCCCCCTCCACTGCCCCAGCCCTACAAACCCAGGCAGTGCCGAGGTGCAGCGGGCTGCCAGCTCCAGCCTGCGCTCCATTTCGGTAATAAGAGGCACCACCTTAACCATCAGAGCCATTTCGTCAGGCCTTGGGCAAGCCGGAGGCCCCGCGGTTTTCTCTCACCGAGCTCGGTGGGCGGCTGTGAGGCTCTGAGCAAACCCTTTGGAGAAGTGGGGTTTTTTTTTTTGCCCTGCTCTGCAAAGCATCACCTGGATACTATTTAAGCCAAGACGGAAGTCAAAACCCGGGGCGGGGGCGGTTTGCTTCTGGGGTGTCCCGATCCACGTTAGCTACAGGTTATTTCCACCGGCCGCTTTCCATCGGCACAGTCTGGGCCAAAACCCGTGTGTCTGGGCTCGGGATGCTCGCCATGCGGCCGTCCCGCACGCGCGGGCTGCGAGATCCTCTGCGCCTGCCTCGAAGGGGGCGAGGAAATAAATAACAGGGTGCTGCCCAGACGAAGGCAGGGGCAGCCAAATGGCGGGGCGACGTTTTGCAGAGCTCCTGGAGGGTGTCACAGGCGGCTGGTGGGCGCATATGGGCACGAGCGGGGCCGGGCTGCATCTCCTTCCCCCTTCTTCAGAGCCCGTGATTTCAATATGGGCTGGGGAGTAAAGGAGGAAGAAGATGGTAGGGATGCGGAGAAGGAGGTTTGGGAGCAAAGGAGAGGCTGATGCTGAAGAAGGGGGAAAAGGAAGGAGGAACGCAGAGGAAGAGGAGGAACTGGGTGTGGATGAGATGCCAAAACCCAGCGCTGGTGGTGGAGCTGGGCTTGGCGCTGGGCTCCATGCCGCCGGCAATCATGCCAACCCTTTTGTCTTTGGCAGGTGCCCACGAGCTCGTCAGGATGGAGAGGTGAGGAAACAAACCCACGTGCTTCCAGCTCCCCACAACCTCCTCGCACCCCCGGACCCCGCAAGGGTCTTCTCCTCTCCTCCCCTCCCCTGGAAGCCAGCATGTATGGAAGGGAATGACATCATTGCCCAGGCTCCTGTCCCTTTCTGGGCAGCCGCTGTTTCTCTTCCCTCCCTCCGAGCGGGAAGTGCCTCCTTTCTTTTTGCCCGTGCCTAGGACACGTCTCCCACACACGCTCGAAACCGCGGTGCTTTTTGGCTAAGCTTTTCCCTTTCGGCTAAGCTTTCCACCCCCGCAGTGGGCTCCTCACTTGCTCTCAGATGAAGTGCCACCACCCAACCCTGCTCACTGCCCTCCTTGGTTGTCCCCAGCCAAAATCCTGGGGGATAAAAAAACGGCTCCTGAAATAAAAACGCAAATCCCCCCCTCCCTCACACCCTCTCCCTCTCCCCCAGCAGCGCCCAGGGCATCGAAAACCCCGTCTTCGAAGAGGTCCCCTCGGCCAGCGCGGAGCCGCGGCCCCGACCCCAGCTCTCCTACATGGCCAACCGGCAGCCTTCCGAGTCTGGCCGGCACCTTCTCTCCGAGCCCGGCACCCCTCTGTCCCCCCCCGGCCCCGGGGACTGCTTTTTCCCGACGCTGGGTGAGTGACTGGCGATGCTGAGACCCACCGGGAACCGCCGCGGAAGATGGGGGAGGCGGAAGGAAAGGGGCAGCCGGGGCGAGGCGAAAGGGAGGCTTAAATATCAACTGCAAATACGTGGAACACCGGCTTTGATGATGGGAAAGAGCCGAAGCCGCTGTTTTCTGTGCAAAAGCAGAGTTTGGCGGCTTCCCGAAGTAATCCCGTTCCCGACTCACCGAATTCCTTGAAAGCCTAAAGACCCCCGGAGGAAACCACGTTCCCCCAGCCGCAGCCGGGAGAGGCCGGGCAGCCACCGCGCCGTGCTCCCCCAGCAGAGACCCCCCCGAGGAGGGCACCATGGCCACCGACAGCGAAGTCTTAAAACCCCATGAAGTTGAGTACAGGAGCCCTGCCCTCACCTCCCTTCCCGGCTCTGCCCCGGGGCTGGAATTGGACCGCTCTTGCCTGGATTTCGTGTTTTTTGGGTTTTTTTTTTAACTATTTCTATGGAGAAGAGCACGGCTCTGTGCCGCTCGCCTTTTACGGACCAGCTGAAAAGCGGGGATGCGGGGAAGGAAGGACAACCCGCCCCTGCAAACCTCCCCGAGGATTTAACTTATTGCCAAGGGTTTAAGCTACGCTACATCAACCTGTTTCAGCATCTTGGACCAAACATCCTCTCCGGGAGCGGATAATGAAGTACTTTATCCACCGTGAGACAAAACAGTGTCGCCGGCCACCCTTGTACTACCTTTTTCTTCGCAAAACAGGAAGGGGAGAGGCTGCCTGCCGCTGACGGAGCCCTCCTTCCTCACCAACCTTTTGAGACGGCCACAGACTTGCGAGGCTGTCGCCTTTTCAGCTGGATGTACGTCAGGATGAGCCTTATTTCTGCTGCAATTTTATCCTGGGCTTGGGATCAGGGGAATTTGTCTTTCTACTTGTTTCATTATCGGCACTGATTAAAGGAAAAAAAAAAAAAAAAAAGGGTGTTTTTGGGTTTTTTTTTTGTTTTTTTTTTTTTTTTTTTTTCTGGAAATGTCTGTAAATTAGAAAGTTCATCTGGACGGTGTTGGAGGATGTTCCTGTGACGTGGTGGAGGCAAAGGCACGGCAGCAACTCAGCAGGCGGTGGGAAATGCTCCGGCTGGCTTCTCTCCATCCTCCCTGGGGCCAGCACTGCCAGAGCCGCCATCCCCAGGGCTGCCGCCTTCAGCCATGCCGGACCACCCTGCGATACCCCAGGTGACGCAGGCGCCCTCGCAGCATCCCCCACGTGAAGGCAGCATCCCAGCATCGCTTCTCCAAAAGAAGCCGTGGCTCCAGCGTGACTCAGCCCCAGCGAGGAGATAAAACCTTGTGGTAGACGCTCTTACTCGAAGGGCGTGTTTAGTTTTCTTTCTGTTTTTGTTGTGAAGTGAGGAAAAAATTGCCACTAGACAAACATAAACATTAGTCATACCAAAACAGTGGCAGCCCTGAGCAATCGCCGTACCAGGCAGTGTGCCCGGGCAGAGCATCCCCGGCGGCACGCCGAATTGTCACACGACGTGGCCGGAGGAAACAACGTTTGCCTCTGCAACGGGCCGGGGTTTGATTAATCCGGCGTTGGCTTCAGCAAGAGCAACTTCAAGATGCTCTGGCTGCAGACGGAGGGATAAAGAAGCCGGCACCAACGCCTCCATCGCGGACGTAACTTGCTGAGCGCGAGACTTGGGCTTTATCGCTGCCCACGGCTCAGTCCCTTTCCTGGCTTTGCCGGAGAAGCTCTCCCAGTGCTTCCAATGCTTCCCTCTCCCCATCCCAGCCACTGGAAAGACACGTGGGGGGATTTGCCCGCCTAACCGCTTCGAAACCATCCCCGAGTCTCTCCGTTTGCTAACAAACGCAGCCTTTGATGACAGAGTGAACCTTTGTTGGAAACAAGTTTCTCTCTGTGCTGCGGGAATCCCATTTTTTTGGGGATGCCCTGTGCCGCCGGTGGGTGCGGTGGGCCAGGCAGAGGTGAGCTGAGCCGCCACATTCTCTGCCCTTCACATCAGGGCACCGCGTGGCTTCAGGTACCCTCTCCCACCTGGAAAGCTGGCGAGAAGGCAAACTAAAGACTTTTAGGGGAAAGAGGCGATGGCTACCCATCCTTCCACACACACTGGAGCGGGAGCCCTGGCACGCTGGGTGCTGGCACCCTGCTGCTGATGGAGAAGACGGCACGGCGCTGCACCTTGGGGCAGGATGCTTACGGTGATGGTGACCCGGCAAGACACTGGTGCCCTCCCGCGCTTTGCCGTGTCCCGGCGGTTCTCACAAGCGCAAGAGCCGTCGGAGCTGGCCCTGTCTGCCGGCTGTTTTCCGCTGCGTCAGCACTCGGGGCTTCGCTCACGGGGAGAGCGAGGAGCCGCGGCACTTCACCCCGACTCTTGTTTCAGAGTGGGCGGAGGGGAACAGAAACCGCAGCGGTTGAAGCAGCACTGGCTGGGGTGGGGGTGGCTGGGAGATGGGCACCGTGGGGCGGTGAGGAGCGGCTTTGCCCATCCACCCTGCCTCGCTGCAGCCATCTGCGGGTGCCCAGGAGGAGCCCTGCTCCGGCACGTGCGTGTGCCGCGGCTCCCTTGGGCAGATGTCCCTCCTTCTGCTGCGGGAAGCATCCCAAAGACCGCGGAGCAGGACCAGCCCTTGGGGAGATGCTGCTGCGGGTTTGCACCGGGGGCAGACAGAGCCCGGGTGCAATTCCCACGCGAGGACACCTTCCAGTTGCAGCTCACCAGCCTGTGAAGGTTTTCTTCCCTGCAACGCTTTTTGGGGTAAACGTTTCCCATTTATCATCAGCATTTCACCCTTTTGGCCCTCTGCGTTTCCAGCTCCCAAGAGGACGGCCAGACGTCCGCGCACCCTTGCTGTCCTGGCTATCACAGGTCACCACGGGGCTTCCAAGTCCTCTCCCAGCTCTGTCTCCTCCGCCTCTGCCATACTCAGAAGGCCAAATCTTGCAGCACGTGAAGGGATGTACGAATTAACAAACAAAAAATCCCTTTTGTGCACTGTTGCATCAGCCTAGATTTACTTGTGAAACCAATGTTTGGTGGGTGACAAACTCCTGACAGACATCATTTCACCACCCGGGCATGAGGCCAACCTCCACCAAGCCACATGCAGGACGGCCTTTCACAAGACCTAAGTGTCCTCAAGCTTCGAAAAGCGATGAAACTCTTCTCTCCACTCAGGAATTGGGTCACTGGATGCTTTGTTTCGCGGGAACTTGATCGTCCCTGCTGGCATTACATGTCCTGGTGACGTGGTGGTCACGCAAGAGAAAACCTGAGGACAAGCGAGGCTGGCTGGGACACCGCTTTGGCAGCGTGAAGTGACAAGTTGCGTCACTTGCCCTCTCCAGCACCGGGAAGGGAAGAGGGCATTGCCACGGCAATGGGATTTACCGGCTCGGCGCATGGCGTTCCTCACCATGGGCAGCATTAGCGATGCTCCCAGGGTGCCAGGGCGATGGGGACTGGTGGTATTGGGTGCTGCGGTTACAAGAAGCTGCCTTCTCTCATTTTTTGGGGGGGGATTTAAGCCTCAGCGGCAGCAGGGCTTAAGGAAAAGGTGGTGATGCACAACAAGCAGGCGCGTGAAGGGAGGGAAGAGTTCAGAGCGTAAAGCCTTGAAGCGGGAGTCGCAAAGCCACCCTTTGCACCGCCGGTTGCAACCAGTTTCCTCAAAAAGTAGAGCAGGGCTTTGCAGCGCGAGCTGCGCCGGCAGATCAGAGAGATGGCGAGAGATAGCAGGTGGAGGTGCGGGGAGAGGAAGGATGGCAGGGTGTCACGCGGGGTGTCACACCTCCCCGTCTTACCGCTTGCGCTCGCTTTGGTTGCACGCTCACCTCCCCGTGGAGCTGCGGGGTTAGGAGCGACATGAGGGTTGGAGAATGCCCCAAACGCTACTTGCTCGCTTGATTCTCCCACATCGGGGCTCTCCTTAAAGGCACAAATAAGGAGACTCGTTATTTGCGGAGCGAGGGAGAGAAGCCAGGCTGCAGCAAATGCAGTACCCCACCAGGCACTCCTGCACGCTGGTAGCTAAAAAGCAAGGTGGGCGCATCCCTAGACCGAAAGGATGGTGGTCATGGTCTTGTATCAACCCCCAAATGCATGCCCAGACCCTGCTCATCGTGGGCAGGGCACTCCGGACAGCAGCGACGCCATGAAAGAACTGCCCAAATCTCGCACGGCGGGGACCGCAAATTGCTGTAGCGATAATTACCAGAGCTCATCTCATTTGTAGGCACCTGAGCAGACACACATGGGTCCACGCTGGGCTGAACCATGGTTCAGCTGTTGCTCCAGCCACCCCCTGCCCCGAGATGGGTGAGAGCAACATCTCAACACCTTTCGGACTCAGAGCACAAGGAGCTGGTGGGAAGGACAACTCCTGCGGCCACCAGCATGCTCACCCGTTGGGATGCTGGTGGTATTTTTGATGTTTACAGATGGGAGAGAAACAGTTCAATGCTTCCGCTAAACCCCCTTCAGAGCCGACACAGCCAGATGGAAAGCATTCTGCATGAACAACTGCAAGAGGGGTCCTGCAGGACCAGACGCTGAAGTCTGGCTCCAGGCTCCAGTCTCTGGAGCCCCCAGCATAGGAAAGACCTGTTGGAGCTGGGGAAGGTCCTTTTACAAGGACATGTAGTGATAAGATGAGGGGGAATGGCTTCAAACTGGAAGAAGGGAGATTTAGATTAGATATTAGGAAGGAATTTCTCACTCTGAGGGTGGTGAGCCCCTGGCGCAGGTTGCCCAGAGAAGCTGTGGCTGCCCCATCCCTGGAGGTGTTCAAGGCCAGGTTGGACGGGGCTTGGAGCAACCTGGGCTGGTGGGAGGTGTCCCTGTTCAGGGCAGGGGGGTCGGAACTGGATGATCTTTAAGGTCCCTTCTAACCCAAACCGTTCTATGATTCTCTGATTCATACCAGTAAATCTGGACCCTGAGACATAACCCCAATGGCCGGGACACCAAAACATCGCTCCCCATACCTGTTCCATCCTTCCCTGCTTGAAGTCTCAATGCTAAGCTCACTCCCACAGTGCTGCCCAGCTCCATCCTCTCCCCGAAAAGCACATTTCGGTGGCTCACCGACAGGGAGGGGTTGCCCTCGTCCTCGACGGTGACCACCAGGCTGTAGAAGCTCTGCCGCTCACGGTCCGGCGGGGAGGGTCGGGTGGCGATCTCGCCGGTGATGCGGTCCATGCGGAAGGTCAGGT